TAACTTTCCCACACAGCTATTGCTGCACTGCCTTGTTTAGGAGCCTCTGGATGCAGGTACCAGCACTGAGCCAACATTGACAGGTGTCGTAGTTCCATTGGCATCTCAGCATTATTCAAAAGGATCGGGAAAGTCTTAAAAGCCCCCCACCACGACAAGGCGCCTACTATGGGGAGGGGCGCGGGGGGGGAACACATCTTACGTATTTCTTAAGTACATTCAAAGTGCCTTGTCTCCTAGCCCTATCACACATTCTCAACTCCATTAATATAAATGATTTAGTAAAATTTCGAAAACATGCCATTATGTACCACAGTGGTGCCAAACTTCAGTATCTTTGCTCAGTGGTTCATTCCTCTTTACTGCTCCTTAAGTGAATCAGAACCTAAACTTGAATATTAACTCATGGTAGACTCTTAACATACCTTCTTGGTGGCCTCCTGTGAAGTCTTAACTTCATGCTGACGGTAGGTTCTTTTGAGGAATTTTTTCGTTGTCCTTCTGTTTACAGGGTCCATCTTAATTTTTCTTTAGCACCTTCAAAATAATTCCTACCCGTTATTCTCTGTTGTACTTCTTCAGCAGGTTGTTGTGTGTTGTACAGTCTCACCCAAAAGTTCGTTAACTCTCCCTGCCAGCTATTGCTGCACTGTCTGCTCCAGATGTATGAACTTGGGTCTGTTACTTCGAACCTTTAGATTCACTCGTATCGGTTTCATGTTCTGGTTGGTATTGAGACAGTTTCAATCATCTGAAGCAGGCAGTGCAGCAATAGATGGCTGGGTGAGTTAACGAACTTTTGGGTGAGACTGTACATCTGGGTAGTAGTATAATCTGAATCTCACCTTTTTAGTTCTGGCAATATAACTTAAAGTACCACTGTTAAATGTCGATTTAGGCCTCCAGGAACCATCTTTACATATCGGTGCATGCATGGCACACTATTCGACAATAACACACATCACAAGTAAAGGCATTGACGTCAACACACGATGAACGATTGGACGGACACTACAGCCGATGATTCAAAACAAAAATTCTTTGTCTCAGAGTCTATACTAGAGATTTATAGAAGGATGGTTCACTTCAATGAGCGATCCAGCCGCTACAGAACTTACGGCGCTGGCGACAACAGCCCCCCAAGCGGTCAGCAACAACAGGTCAAAACATAGCGGGTTAACTTCAGGGTCGAGAAGTAGGAGAGTTTGTACTGCATTTTCTATCGTTAATACGGCTTCCTCTGCCAAATACGATGGAATATACTCATAATTCAGTTGTAAATTTCAAATATATAATAATCATTCTTCCACTCTCCAAAAGGTCCAGAAAGGTGAGTTATAGACCTTTCTTTTCTTGTGTATTTTGTGGTGCTTCAAGCGAATCTGACTTTCATTTCCGTTGCAAATGGGCCATTATGGATATCTACCCTCTAATTACCAACAATATTGGTTGCATAAAGTGGGCAGGGTTTTGAAGTAGAGGACAATTGTGGGGTAAAAACAGGAGAAAAAAAATAAACCTCCCAACCAGAGAAACCAGGAAGGCTTGATCAAGGAGGGCTCCGACCCCCGGGATCCCCTGTTATGTAAACAAAAACTTACCTTAATTAACAGATGCTACAGGATGAAGTGATGCTACTTATAGGAGGAAGTTGAATTCGACTTGATACATTTACCGAGCGAAATATTGTCTGTAATGTGTTGTCTAATGGTAGACAAAAATTTTGACCACGTCCCAGGTTGCTGATCTGACTTTGCCTCATTTACATACAATTGCAGGGTCACAGTTGTTTCTCCTACTTTGACAACACAATATACATACAGTATATCGTTTCTCACTATTGATTTTTTTGTATTTATTTATGGTCCTTTATTATAACTGCATTATTATTATTATTTTATTATTATAGTTTAATTTAATATTTGTTTTATTAATTTTTATAAATTATAAAATATTTTCGCCCTCAGGCCCTGATGTTGGTCATTGACCTGTGTCCTGTTGGTACGATGCACCCAACTCTTGGTACCCTTCCACACTCGTTCTATATTTTGCTTATGAATACCTGTAACACTGCGCAGAGGTTGGCAGAATACCATGAGCCTTAAAAATGTCTTTGGAGGATGCGCAGGAGTGTCACATTACAGAGAGCACAACGCTAATTGGCAATACACAGTCACTGGACACAGAGACTCAGGGAGGTAGACGTAACATAAAGAACTCGCCTGAGTCAGATGTAAATAATGTTTCCTGCCACAATGTAAGTTCCCGTTTGAAATCTATGACCACCAAAATACTCTAAAAATATAAATTTTCAATGGAAGCATAATAATTTGTATATTTTTTGCTTTTTGTCCCCATATAAATAAAATACGAAGTTCCGTGGTTGACCTTTTCCGAGTTTTAACAGGGACAGTACCAAATGAAATACTATCCAGTAAATCAATGGTAATATTGTTTCTTGATTTTTCATGAAGGGCCCAACTTTTGATGTTCTTTATTTTGCTTATGAGCGTCAGTAGGATTTACAAACTTCTTAATGTGGTTTACATTTCCGTGAATGTAACCAATTGCACCGATGGTACTACAAGTCCTCCAAATGTCAGTATGAATAACACTACCCAGTTTTACAAAACGCTGAATTAGCGGTATGAGGATATCAGCACTGTGGTCAGGCACTGGTAAGGTGAATTGATGTTTGAAGACAGTTTCTCTGCCCCCCGACCCATGATCATGTCATTTCCATACTCATACAATGTCTCACTTCAGAAGGCTTTGTGTTGATTAATTGTCTTTTTCTATTCTATTTTTTTACTCTTATTTTTTCATCTCCCAGGCCCCATTATGGGTCGATGACCTGTGCCCAGGTGGGCTATTCACCCTCACAAAAAAAAAATAGTTTTCCAAACTTTCATCAACTTCTACTACAACACCAGGCTGGTTATCCAAAACATTGTTCCCAAACCTCTGAACAAAAGCTTTTCCAATTCACGACAGTTCCAAATGATATTCCCAAGTTTTCTTTTGTGTAGCATTGAGCAAGATGATTTCTGATGAACGTATTACAGAACACTAAGGTTTTCTACACTGAACTGTGTAATTTGTTCAGTCAAATGCCTTTAAATGCAAAACATGTAGAACCAAAATGAGGAAATCTTTGTCTTGAGGATTTAGTATTTTCCATCTTTTAGTACAAAACCAAAGGGGGTCTATCTTCATGAAAGTGACAGTCTGAACATTTCATGGAAGATAGTAAAACACCATGCACTTTGAAAATGTCCATCTTGCCACTACAGTCAGTTCTGCTATAACACGATAGTTGTGTTCTTGTAAAATATCATGTTATAGAAAATCGCGTAATAGAAATAACAGGGATTATGGAGAAAATAGGGTTAGGTGCGGATTACTCGAAATTGAAAAAATTTAGTAGTTAGCCTAACACAAAGGATAGCACAGTCGAAATAAATGTTACATTCACATCTAATAATGAAATCATACAGTAAATGTAACACTTTACCTTGAAAAAATATGAATGTAACTTGACGGGGGAGAAGGGTGATTTTGAGGTTGATAACATCGAGCTTCTCTTCAAGTGTTATATCCTTTCTTTTACGATCATCACCGGGAATTCGATCACCAGAACGCTTCTTGGAGATATTCTTCTTTACCATATTCACAGTTAATACCACAAAATTGGAGAAATAGTAAGCAAAAATCGCGTTACAGCAAACAAGCGTTCGCGTTATACAAATATCGTTCCTCTATTCATAAATCGCGTTAGAGCAAATTCACGTAATCAAAACACACGTTATAGCAGAACTCGCTATGCAATTCAAATTCCAAAGCGGCCGAAGCCTGCACATATGCACGAGTATCACGTGACATTGAAATTTTTGCAGAGTGATTAATAAACAATGTTACCCCACAAACTTGTACAGGCGCAGTCAGAAATATTCATGCACCCCTCTTACTACCATACCCGTGAGCTCGAGGCCTTTCTACGCGACGGGTCACAAGAGCGCGAGGGAGGTATTGATGGGAGTGGTGGACCCTGGTGAGGTAGGATGGCACAAGTTAAGGGCCACGTAATACTCATATACAGTACTCTCTCCTCGACTTACGACAGGGTTCCGTCCTGATGACCAGGTCTTAAGTCGAATTGGTCACAAGTCGAAAACAATACATAGAAATTCTAAAATGGGTGTCTTTCTTCTCAGCACCACGAGAACTCACTTTTACGCTTGCCAGCCATTTTAAAGGGAACTACAAACGAAAATTTTGTCAGTACACAGTGCGATCACTAACGCGAGGACCCGAAAATACATGTAATTTGAAAAATATTTTATACTACCACGGCGGTCGTATGTCCGGGTTGTCGTAAGTCGAGGAGTACCTGTATATAGGTGGTGAGAATGTATGTGGTCTTGGAATTATCCTTAACACCTGAATGTATTAAGGTTGGTGGATGTGGCTTGAAGTTGACGGCCTTAATGACCCTGGCAGTGATAGGCCTAAAGCCCAAACAACCAGCTAACCAGGAGGGCAGGTGTGAGGGAAGGCCTCATGTGGACTTTCCCCATTAGTTATCGATGCCTTTACTCGAGATTCGGGGAAGGAATGCGAGTGAGCTCTCGACAGGTAATGTCTCATTTGGGTTGATAAGGTGTCTGGCTTCCGTGAGGGAAAGCCTCTCATATGACAACATATGAGAGGAGGGGTGTGGCTTGCTACCACCAGTAACACTAAAGTAGGTTGTTACCTCTCGCCACCACCGTTCATGAAAAAAAGAGTCGCTTAATTTTTAGGAGAAAAAAATATGAATGAATTGTTGGATAGAATGTGACTTGTCCACCCTGTACTGTACTGTTTATTGGGGTATGAAAAAATGCATACCCTATAGTAATCATTGGGTACTGTATAAACAGACCCTTTGCTAATTGACGTCAAAATGGTAGACGAAATACGTTATTAATTATAAGGTAAGGATAACATGAAACACCATCATCATTTTGCTTTATATTTGGTTAGGATAACAATTAGCCAATTACAAATCCTATTTACAGGTCAATGAATAAAAACTATAGTTTCCTTGAAACTATTTTCAGATTCACTTTAAATAAGTTTTTGTTTGGCACTATACAAATTATTTACAATACTTTTGTAGTTTTTATGCTTGTCTGCACAAATACTAAATGACTGTATAGGCTAAATGAATAAAAAAAAGTAATGAGCCTTTTTTTGCTCAAAAACTATCTTGTGATTATCAGACGTATATAATAAATTATATGAAAAAGTTAAAAAAAAATGACAATGGTAACAAAACTTGGACAAAAGGTAAAATGGATGGGTGGGGGAAAAACAACAACCACAAGCCCAAAACTGATCGGACACACATGCACACTTTTTCTTAAATAACCATGCTTCAACATCTGGTCTGGAGTCTGACATGTACAATGAGTAACCTGTTCTAAGTGACAGATGATACAAAATATTATTCCTCTCAAATCTATCTCACTCAAGAAAGATATACAAGTATCTTGATTTTAAACCCTTTCCAGTAGGGTGTGCTTAGAGAAAATTATTCTCACCCTAATAGAGTAGCATCAAATATTCTGCACTTTTCTTATTTAATCCTGATGAGGCATAACTCCAAGACGAGGCATTACTCCAAAATACTTTATCTACCATACAAAAGGTAAGAGTCTTCCTCCAGACCAAAATCTTTCAGAGCTAAATTGACTAAACAATTCTGTAGGTCATCAAAGGCTGCTTGGCACATGAGTTTTAACACCAACAGTGTTCTGGCACAAAGAAGACTTTTTGATAAAACTGGTACAAACTTTTCTGTATCCAAAGAACAATATCATCCTTCTTTTTCAACACCACTAACACAAGTAATGTGAATGTCCAAACACTGATGGAGTAAACCTTCACGTCCATGACTGCGACAGACCATTTGCTTCTCACAACTTAGATTAAATTAGCAAAAACGGTTTCAAAATATCAACTAGTAAAGATGGTACAATCTGTACTAACACACAATAAACCACGATCTCTTTACACTGTTCTGTCTCATATTGGTACTGTTCTCCAAATCTTTGTTAGTCACAATTATGGTACTTTACACCAACCATTATTCTGGTTTACAAAGACCACAATTCAGTTAGTTCCAATAGATATGTCACTTTCACACCACTGATACAGAGGGCTTGTTTATGTGGGAAGACTTAATAACATGAAACATTTATATTTTCTTTTGATAAATGCAGAGGTAAGACAAGACAAGAGCGCAAACAATTGTTGGTAGTCGACCAGAGAGCTGCCAAGACTTTAATGTTACTAAAAGTTAAATCTAAGCGAGACGCCTATGTTTAGTAATGATTGGTCATCTCGGCTTAAATCTTTGCTTTAAGTAACACGATAAAATTTCTTGTTATATTCAAAGGTGTCTTTAATTTGTTGGTTTCATGTCCAAAAGAAATAAATTTGGAACTGGAACTTAAGCAAGTAATAATTAGGAACATCTAAAGGTGATATTTTCTTAATTTAGAAGGCACTGATCCCATTTTGATGAAAAGAAATTCACCTTAATCAGCTGAAAAGGCACTTACATTAGGTCATAATGTATTATATAACATTATTAAAGCACTTCAAAAACCTCAAATTAAAGATGCCTTTTATGGCAGCTTACCAACATTCCTCTTAATAGTTGCATTTTTGTGGACGGGGGAGGGGAGCGGGTTGATTAAGGGCTACCGACAGGTCTCGGGTGCACTTCTGGGAAATGTGTCACAGACAGGTGGGGATGCCTCTGCGCAAAGGGCGAGGAGCAACACTCCTGCCTGGGTACACTCTTGACCGGTCTTGGGTTACAATAACGGGTGTAGAGCATCGGCCATCACTTGCCACTGTGACCAGGCCTATAGTGAAGGAACCAGCCAGTGGAAGTCCTGTTACCAATGCTTTTGTGCGATGAGGAGATCTTACATGCTGTACAACCCGTCCACCCACTAGCACCTGCATCAAAAGAAACCATAAAAATTTATTAAAATGCTGTTATTGTTAGAAGATGATATGAATACAGGCTATCAAGTGGATATACAGTATATGCAACATCAGAATCCCTGCCATTTGTAAGAAAATGCAATATGCCTCTCCCAGTTACTCGTCTTCATATAACTAAAAAAAAATTCAAATGTCTGTATCAATCTAAGAGACTATAACCAGGTATCTTTGTCAAAATGACCTCTATTTTGGTCAAAATGACGAAATGGTTGGAGCAAATATTGCTTAGGTTTTTTTTTTACAAGTTGTGACCCTTGGGAAATGAGAACAAATAGAAAACTTAAATGTATCGCAAATAAATTATTGGGTCTTATGAGAAGGTCGTTTGGATATCTAGACGGTCCGTCTCTAGTAACGATCTTCAAGAGTGAAGTGCTTCCCCATCTGGAGTACTGTACTGTCACCCCATCTGGTCCCCGAGATATGCTAGGGACTGGCGCCTGCACTTCGGCACCTCAGCTACCCCGAGAGATTGGAGCGCCTGAACTTGCCTAGCTTATATTACAGAGGGGCAAGGGGTGACCCAGTTGAGGTGTATAAGCATCTCAGGGGGCACTACTCAGTCGAATGGCCTTACTTGGAGCTGGCGGACGCTCGCCCCACAAGGGGTCACAACTCAAGATTGAAGAAGCCGCAAGTCCAGAAAACTGTGAGGGCAAACTTTTTTGGAGTGAGGGTTGTAAACTCTTGGAACAATCTACCAAAGAATTTTGTGACGGCACCGAGTGTGAGCTCTTTCAAGTCAAAACTTGACCAGCAATGGAGCGGGTTCAAGTACATTAAGGAGCCGGTGCATGCCCAGTATTTGCCAACAGTGCGTGACAGAGACGTGACGGATCGCCCAGGCGGCTAGCGAGCCGATCTTTTGGTGAAGAGGACAAACGAAAAGGAAAAGTAATCAAAGACGTGATCGATCGCCCAAGCAGCTAACGAGTAAAAGTAAAAGTAAAATGTATCTGTGAGGGAAGTTATCAGATATCCTAAGACAAGACCATTTACATTAGCCAAAATGTGTGGGCAACTGCCTAAACTTTAGCTAATAAACTTCTTGGAAGTTAAGAGAACTTATGCAAAATTTAGGCTATCTAATTACTCATATGGAGTAGATCCTAACTTTGCTCTCCTTACAAAACAAAAATATAGTATTGGTACAGTACTGCACTCACAGAAGTACAGTACTACATGACCATGTTCGTAAATGAAGAATTCTTCATGATTCAACAGTCAGTAAACCCATTAATAATGTGACACATAACATACCTGGAACCCTGCTACACAGTCATGTTCCAGTGGAGCCCATGCGATGACCACCCCATCTACGCCAACCCTACGTGTAATATGAAGCTCCCGTGGGCGTGGCACACATGTTGCTTCTACTTCCGAGGACATGCTGCTCAGGGGTGATCGTTCACGCCATTCAGGAGCCGATGCACAATCCACAGCAGCATCTAAAGGTGCTACGCCCGTCTAGGAACAAATTTGACATTAGGATCATTTTCATCAACTAAAGTGTATTAAAATATGTTGCTACCGCAAACACAAGAGAAATACTGCTTCAACTTTATCTTATTTACACAAGATCCTGCTTACTAGTAACAACATACTGTACAATAAAAAGTATATCAAATTAAATAAACTTGACTACTGCATAGTACTTGTAAAACTATAAGTTCTGCAAGTGCGGGATGAAAAACTGTTTTGTTGGTTCCCGTGTTCACAATCATATACCTGATGTTCACTTAAGTTTAATGGCAACATTACATTTCAGTCATACAACACCAGTATAACTTTGAAATTTCATAAACCAAAGCTTAATAAATTATAGACTCCCTGTACAGCAATTAACTTTATTTTGCTATAATTATTATATATTTTTTTAAAAATATATCTCAAGAACTTAAACTGCATCCTCATCTAACACTTACCACCATCCGTTTGATCTTCCGAGCATCTGAGAGGAATCTTGTTGGTCGTTCTCGTCTGGTCGAGTCCTAAAATACAAATGTATTACGTGCCATAGGATAAGTACCTTGTATTATTAAACAGGCAAAATTTCTGTAAACTTAATAATATCAACAAAGATGACAGAAGAAACTCCTATGGCAATACAGCACAGTATTATTACCCACTTGATATGGTCTTCATAAAAAATATTTTGCTACACAGTAACAGTGATCTGAATCTGATGTGCCATAAGAAACTTCCTGAGAGGTAATTCATTATTAACTAGAAAACATAATATACAATACATCACTAAGAAGCTTATTATTGATCTAAGCAATACAGGGTGATGGTAAGAAAACTAACTAGAAAACATTATGCACTGCAAAATATAACTATACCTGTGTATGAGATTGCAGATAATTTAGGTCAATGTAGAAAACAAATTTTACGTTTTGGATAATGAGTTGCATCTAAGAAATATCAATAAGCAGGAGCATTATTGCAGTTTTTAAGAACTTGAAATAAGAAGAAAAGTAAGAAATGTTCAACCTTTCTGCCCGTGTGTTTTGCTGGAGTAGAGGTCACCACGGGCTTGAATGCACATGTAGCTTTTGGTGGAGTAGGCATTATTTCATGCCTAGGCACCGATGCAGGCTTAGCTATTTTCAAGGGCTCTGATACAGGGTATGCCATATGCTCTTGAACTGGCATGATCACTGCCAATGGAATTGGCTCAAACATTGGTACAGAAACCACAGGTCGTTTAATTTTTTGCATGGGCTTAGGGACATGTTTTGCCTGAAGGGATTTGGGTGCAGGCTTTGCTCTGGGCACAGAAGAGGGCAAATATCGTGGTATGCGAGACTTTCTCCGCTGAGCCAATGAAGGAGAGCCTCGGAAGGTCACGTGACTAGAGGGCTCCGACTCATTATGAGAAGGAGCTAGTGAGGTGTCAGACTCGAGGGTCACGTGACTAGATGGCTCCATCCCATTCAAGATGGCAGATTGAGACAAGGAAGCCATCTGGAGGATAAGAAGAGAGAGCAATGTAAATCTGTTTAGAAAGCATTGCTCACTGTTTCATAGTCTCAAGAATTACTGGATTTTGTTTACATTATGAAAATGATCCCAGGCTCGTGGTAATTATCCACAAGCCCACAAGAAGGAAAATACTATAATATGTGCGAGTGATTTAAAGGTAAATAATCTATATTTGGCTACATTAAATCCGTGAAAAGGAGACTATGACCATTGAACAATATACACATAATTATTCATGAAGGACTACAAGTATTAGTATTTTAGGCACCATATTCTCCAAAGATGAACAAGTCTTTTGTAGGAATAAATAAGATGCAAGCACAAGAAAGACCAGTTCAAAAGCTGCTTATATACAATTGTTATTTTGGCTAAGCTTATAACAAAGATACAGTTCTAAGTGATTAGTGGCTCAATATTGTATATTACTCAAAATAATAACTTCCAACACCAAGTTACCCCAAATGTACAATGCTGATGCTCAGTGCTATAATAGGAAGATGACAAAGAGCAGAGTACAGTCAAGTATCAGTCAACCAAAAATCTACTTCATATAATATATTTTATAAAAGATTTTAGCATTCTAAGTATGTAATTTAAGAGTACCCTGTACTATAAATATATACATTTTTTTATTTATTTGCCACATATTACACGAGAGTAAATGAGGAGAAATTGGACAATCAGGCAACTGGCTCAGTGACTGTGCATCATGGTGCAAGTGAGGAGTCTTCACAGGAGTCTGAGGAGTACCACCATAAAGAACATGGTCATTGTAGGGGAATGTTGACACATTGACTTATTTGTAGACTGAACACTGAATGTTAGAGAATTATGAAGTAAATTTGTGTATAGTACAAACTTTTTGGTTGAGTTACTTTACTGTACCTTAACATTAACAGAAAAAAATTCTAGATTATCATGTCTTGTTATTCTGCAATCTATTTACTTGGTACTAAAGGAGTTTTGAGTAGGAGAGAGACAGTTAGTGGAAGATGGTTAAGACAGATTCCTCAAGTAACGCTGCAGTTGACAAAATCCTTAGGCCATGCTTGGTTCTGAAGCACATCTTCCATCAGAGAATCTTGAGTTCATGTTATTTTCAAGCAAATGTTAAATAACTAAGCACACCGAGACATAACTAATGACTTTACTTTTTTTTAATATTTGTGCCTAGTACTGTACAGTACAGTACTACGAAGTTACTGCAAACATAAATTTACAAAACATGACACATCCAATGCAACAAAAATTATTGATCAATTTGTAATGTCTCAAACATAATCTACTTTTTGACACTCCACACACACCAGAGATGGAGACTCTTCCAATGTCTACAGCACAACAGTTAAGCTGACTAAATGATGATGATGCAACTTATGAGAGTGACACAGTAATGAAGTAATTTTCAAAGGTATGATTTACTGTATAGATAATGACATCAGTAAACCATGAAAATTTTTTTTAAGAATGGTAGCTACTGTAATATTGTACAGTAGTTACAAAAACTGAATGCAAGTCTGCTAAATCTGTCTTAGGAAACATTGGAAGTGCCTGCCCTCTATGTCAAAACAAAATTAACCTTCCAACAGGAGTGGCACTATCCCGTCTCTGGTTATCTCCGTATTCCAAGTCATTTTTTTTAGATATTCATGTCCTGAAAATAAAGGGCACTTTTTTTTTTTTTGCAGCAATATCTTGAACTATGTTTAACAATACTGTAATCATTTCCCTGACTCATGAGGGAGTACAGTGCAGTACCTGAAAATCATCATTAACTACTACATATATTACTAATTATCTGTTGCTGGTAATTCTATGTGTGGACCAATGCACTTTGGATATATCTGAAGTATTTTTTTTTAACTGTAAAATAAGACTATTTCATGTCTTAATAATTACATTAATATTTCTCAGCTATCCTAAAAAGGAAGTAGAGAATACTTTCAAATATATCCATAAAATAAATTCTTTTTAGAGTGAAAAGCTTTGACCTATTCCTCTTCTATATTTGCAAAAGCATCAATTTGGTTGCAACATTCATGAATTAATGTACATGCAACTTTTACTTTTTCACCGGTGCTATATTCACTGTTTCTCACAGAAGGTTGATTACCAAGGACAGTTCATTCTAAAATACCATTACAGCTCAGCTGCACGTCAATAAAATCCAGATACCGGTAATTTAGAAGTATGGCAAACCCAGTTCAAATTAGTAGCATATTAGTAAGACTATCTGACTTGCTTAAACCTTTCATTAGTATTTTTGTAAGATTACATTTTCTGTGGAATGTTAGGAAACAATCACCTGTTCTATGAGTTAAGTATCTACAAAACACCGAGAGCTAGTTTGTAACCAACCCTGGTATGAACCGGTAGTTAATGCGAGTAATTACACTATAAACTGTATTAGTAATACAAGGCAAAAGACAGGAGAAATATTAGCATTATATATCAATTAAAACAATATATTGGATGTGTAATTTTTTAAGACAATTCTCAATGTACTGAAAAAGTCTTGTTCATGATAAATTTTAACTTGAGATGAGATGACATGTAACATAACACACTGGTTCTGAAGTATACTTTAAATAATATGACAAATTTTAAACAATCACCAACATGACAAAATCAAAACAAACATAGGTGTCTAAATTGATTTCAGCAACAAAGGATAAAAATGTTTACTGTTGAAATAAGTTGAAGTAAACTTAAATTAAAAAACTAAGTTCCTCAGTTGGACAAACTAAAACAGTAGTGTACAGTATAGTGGACAGCTTAGTCCATGAAGTCTCACCTCACTGGGTTGATTGAGGAATGAGCAGACAGCATCAACATCAAAGTCTGGCACAGGGGGCAGCGGGGTAACAGAAGTCAGCTGTTGGTCATCTCTGTTACCAAAATTTGGTAATTGTTCACTCTGGCCAACCTCGCTCAGTCGGCGCAGTTGGTTGATTATTACGCCCATGTTGCCCGATCTACCGAAGAAATAATTATTGTATACTGTATATTTAACTTGACAAGATAAGCATTACCCTGTTCGTCATTAAAGAATGTAATATACAGTATTGTACTCTCGGCAAAAACTTCTCGAACGCTATAAGCAATATACAATCTGAAAAATGAACTTAGAATCTGAAACCATTCCCAGATGACAAGCCCCATTCTGCTCATTCTCACATCCATCGTGCCCAGGTGTTGGAGAAGTTTTTGTTGAGAGTGTACAAGTAAACACAATGCTAAAATTAATTAAAGCCACAAATTATGAATGAGGACTTCCATTACATAACTCTAAACGATGATTTATGTAGGAGCTTCAACTTTCCGAACACCATTATGGTATTTATAATACTGTGTCCCGTTTCAGAAAATAATGGAGTAAGCACAATTTAGTCACAAAATGAACTAATGTACAATGAACATGCAATTTATTCTTTTTTCCCCATTTCGACAAATACCTGAGGATTGCACGGATCTGTGAGGCAAGTGTATAGATGATAGAATCCTTGAGCTGGCCCCGGCGAGCCAAATGTTCAGCTTTTTCTGTCGCCTGCTCCACTCGTTTTGTTAACTCCTCCAGGTCCACCTAAGATGCAAGTACATGATATTAAAGTGTTGTACAAAGCTTATAATACACTGTACTTGAAATATTTTTAATAACAGCAAATGTTATTGAAACTGACAAAATACTTTTTACTGGGGGTAGATGAATTTTCCTCAGTATTTTTTCAGCAAGAATGCAAGAATCTTTTCCCAAGATAGAAATGGGTGGAGTGTTAGCAATAATTAACTATAAAGAATAACTCGTCCAGAACAAAGAATTTGGAATGGGCATTGCAATTTTTGCTACCGTATATAAATTTAGATTTGAATAAAGTTTTTTAATTAGATACCACTTAGTTTAAGCAATGTAGTAGATACTGTAATCCCTTAGAAGCTATAGCTAGAAATTGTAATTTAAAAGTTATTTTTTCTATATCTTTACAGTACAGTATTGTATTCTAAATATAGTTCAAATACAAATTTTAACCAAGAATGTAAAATCAGAAAAGGAAAGAAAAAAGGTGTACCTTATGCTTGGCCTGGACTGAGAGTCGTGCACGCTCGGCATCCTCCATAGTGTGCACCAGTTGCTGGCGAAGGCTGGCCAAGATGGTATTAAGATGCTCCGCCTCTTCACTCTATTCACATAAATTAATGTAGTGTTATTTATATTACTTCCAGGTCATTTGCTACAAAAATAACAATTTTTCCTTACTGTATTCTCAAGACAAGAGGAATTCACTACTGTGGTTATGCATTTACATTTGCAGTACACAGAGCCAGTACAAATGGGAGTTAGCAATACTGTATCTCCGAAATACTGTATTTCAATTCAATTACTGTACTGTTATTACGTGTACATTTAAATATGTATCCCTATTATCGGATTATTTATTTACTGTACTGTATCCTTATACAGTATATCATAAGGTACCATAATATATACCATTATCAATTCAGTTGCTTTACAGTCAAAACACCTGTCTTCCAGGGAGTGACACTCATCACTCCCAAAGATGAGGTCTGGATAGTCAAACCTAATGTTTACTTATAAATTATTATTATAACCCTTATTTACTGACCCAGTTTGTCTAGCGTCTATACCACTAATGTTAATATAGTATATTAATTATTGTTATACAGTACTTTATCTCTGCTTATCTCAAATAGCGTACAGTATATACACTGGGTACTGTACAGTACAGTATACTTTAAAAATCTAAGTTGGTTTTATTACTCATAATGTGAGAAGGTACCATAGTTCATTGCCATAAATTCTTCATTAAAGACAGCTTACCTTTTGCTGGATGGTAACATTCCGAGACTGTAACTGATTGTTAAGGTCACAAGCCTCATTATCAGCAAGACGGAGCTCCTCCTCCTTGTGACCAACAGCCTCCTCCAGCTCCCGTACCTTCTCCTCCAGCTCCTCCAGGATTGTGGAGGAGCCCTGAGGGCACACCAGCCTTCTGCTGCTGCGCTCCTCTAACCGCCTTCTGCTTCTCCTGCGGGCATTTCTTTGGAACCTTCCGCTGGCGATGCAGTTGACAGTATCCCCGCTCGACTGTTCCCTGGGCCCCTCCCCGGCGGGGTTGGGAGGGGGGGTCGTAGTGGCTTCGTTGACCAAGTTTTCTGCTGTGTCTGTGTCATAAGATTCTAAAAGAAAGAAAAACTTTCATCAGGTTAAAGATCATACATAAAAAAAAAGTAAAACAAAAAAGTTTCACTTATTAATGTCGGAGAAAAGGCAATGAACGTATTTCTGACCTGATACGTCGTCTTCGTCAGCATCAGAAGTAATGTCCTCCAGGTTTGGATTGCTGGGTTGGCCCTCAACAAGCTCAACCAGAGTGCCCAGCTGATTTGTCACATCAGCTAGAGTGCTACTCTGAGATGCATTACACGACTCACAGCTCTGAAAATCAGATACATTATTATTTCACTGCCAAGTTTCAACATTTTATCAATAACAAATATAATTACAGTAGCTTTTCCTCAATATATGCACACCTCTTCATCATGATATACTGTACTCATATACTGTATGTTAACTGCAAAATTTTCAAGGAGATTTTGTTGGATATAGGGACAAGGTGCTTGTTGGACCTGCATATTTTTTACAGTGTCCACAATAGTGAGAAGCAAGCTTGGTGATGTTATCACAATGAGAAACACTCACTTTAAGAGCTGTGGTGAGAGCAGTGAGGGAAGAATGAAGCGTAGCAATGGGTGATGCAGCAAGGGCATCCAACTCACTGGCAGCATGTGCATGACTCATCTGTTCCAACTGGTGCTCAAGTTCCTCCACTTGAGAATCTCGTGATGATACCTGAAAAGGAAAGAAAATATTGTATACTGTAGCTAAATCGCATTCAGTGTCTTTTGAATAACCTTTAGGATGTAAAATAGGAAGTATACATCATTTTAGAATCTTCCATTTGATAATTCAATAAATTTAAACAATTTAAATCTATGATCACTGCTCATTAGCCGTTATACCGAAATCTGGATTCTTGCAACAAGTTTTTCTTTAACTGAAGAAGGAAATGAATCACTCAAGATCTATGCTCCTGGCGACAACTTGTGGGGATATCAATACAGTATAAATATTCGGTGTTCTCGTTCATTATACCTGGAGGTTGAGAGTGAGAAGATCCTGCTCATGTCTTCTGCCACTCTCGTCTAATTCTTTGGCTATACGCTGCCCTTCTGCTTCTGCCGCCATTACCCGATCACGTAATTCACAGTTTAGTCGATCGAGCTCCATCAGCTGCGAGTTGCACAGCTTCAACTGATTACGAAGCTTTGTTACCTGAAATTAAAGTATATCCAATACACTTACGGAACTGCTTCTTCTGTTTTAATCCTTTATGTAAATAAAATTAAAAAGGGTTTATTTAAACTTGAACAACAAATGAAGCTTTATAATACACCACTTTCCAATTTACTATAAGGCAAATCAGAATAGTTACAGCAAATCTTATTACACATGTCACATGATCCATTGACAATAAGGATGAAGTGGTACAGTACAGTATTCTAAAGTCCTATTTTTCTTCTAATACAATATATAGTACATAAATAACATAAGGCTGTCCATTGCAATTCATCTCTAGCTTTCCAATCCAAGACACTGAGTGATATCAGAGTAAACAGGAATTAGTAAACATTCAAATCTTATACTGTACAGAATTATTTACTGAAAATATTTTAAAGAAAGATACCAGAAAGTGTGGATTTAAACCAATTTAATTTTGATGTGTGTATGCCATCAACTTGGGTTTTTACCTTCTTGCTAAGAATATTGTGTTCACGATAAACTTACCTCTGACCGATGTTGTGTCTCGTGACTGATTGTTTCAGAGGACGATTCCTTCAGCTCCCGTTCAGTGTCAGCTAAGCGGTTACGCAGCTGCTCCATTTTCCTTCTGTAAGACACTTCAGACTCCCTTGCACCATATTCCTTTGATGCAGCAGCCTCTAGTTGAGCCTTGTATGACTGTACTTCCTCTTGAAGACATTCCACCTGAAAAATTTAAATGTTTATATTTTGTAGAACGACTCCTGAAGCTATGGCAAGATATTAAGTACTGTACCGGGTATTGAAATAAAAACCCTCCAGCATTACCAACCTGGTCTCTAAGCTTTCTTTCTCTCTGAGCCAGAATAAGATCAGCTTGGTGAAGGGTTTCTCGTAACATATTTTCTGTGACTTCAAGCTCCTCTACACGACCCCTTAAGTAGCTCTCATTCTGTTGAGCTTCAGATATTTTGCGAGAGGAGTCCTGGGCCTGAAAGAGTGAGCATGCTTTAATATAATAGTTCCAGAATGTGAAATACAATATAGTACTGAAATGTTAAATAATAAATATGGTATAATAACACATGTAATATAACTCTGTATACCAGTTTATGGCATTTTAAAAATATGTGAAGCTGGATTTAGAGTTTGTTAACAGTCTTTCATTAAAAATACTAACCTGGTTCAGTTCAACAGACAGGGCATTATTCTCTGTTTCCAAGGTCATGAGGCGGTGGACAAGTTCCTCTTGGTCGCGTAGTTCTCCACGAAGTGCTTGGTTGGTTTTCTCAGCTTCCATTAACTGTAAATAATTTATGACTATGAGAAGTGTCCTAAAATACTGTACAAGAAAAATTTTAAATTCTTGTAGTTTTTTTTTATTCTACACCAAATATAAAAGTACAGTAGCATTGTTAAAAATATTGAAACTTGTTAATAAAATTAGTATGATCATCTCACTTTTATCTGGAGTTCCTTTTCACGCTTTTCAAGGTTCCACACATGCTCCTTCAGTTTTAGTTCAGAATTTTCAGTTTCAATGAGGTGGTCCAAAAGGTCAGAGATACGTGCACCTTCACTAGTTCTTGCATTATTTCTTAAACTTGTCCTCAAGCGTTCCTCAGACGTCTCCAACTGGTGAATTTTCAAAGACTGTTGATCTGCGGCAGCCTCCAGATCTTCTATTCGTTGCTTGTATGATGTTACATGGCTGGACATGATCTTGTCAGCTTCTCTTATTGTCTCACGGTATGCACATTCCTGTAAGAAAAGATTATGTACTCATTAGCTAGCCCAGACATTATGCATGAATAAACCAATATTGTACAAATCAATATTATATACAATGTAAGGAATGCATGTTTTATAATCATACCTTTTTCTCAAGATCATAAATTTTTTGTCTGAGATTCGTTTCTGATTTAACTAATTCTCTGATCTTATCTAAAAGGTCGCTATTATCTTCACTATGCTTCGTTGGCGACTTTCTACCGCACGACAAGACATTTTCCATGTGTGAATCCATATCAACGAGATCATTTGCTATGGAAACACCAACTATCTCTAGCTCCTGCCTCAAGGTTGAAAGCTGGAGTTCCAACTGTCGCACTCGCTCTTCTTGATGGTTGCGTTCCTTCTGCACCCCCTGGAGCCGAGCGTCAAACTCCTGACGAAGTGTTTTCTTTTCCAATTCATGGAGATCATTGTAACGAGACATATCACCCTTCAGTTCTTCTATACGTAAAAGTAAATTACGTCTGACTTCTTCCTTTTCATCCTGAGCTTCTTCTAAGCGAAATAACAGACTGCATTTATCACGTGCAGCTTCCTCGAGTTGAAGTCTTACGTCATTAATTTCGCCTTCTAAATCACGGTGCTGCTGTAGAGAGTCACGCCTGTCATTATCTTGACCCTAAAAATAACAAAAAACCTCTAGGTCATACAGAACAAAAATTCACTTTATAATTAATGCACAAGGAGAAACAAAAAATTTTTAGGCCACTATTCTGATCTGACAAAAAAATTAACAAGGTTACAAGTCTTCTCAACCTGATGTATACAACATACCTTTCTAAGATTGATTTTCTCCTTTTGCAAGAACTCAATCTGCTCTAGGTAGTACTGTTCACGTTCAGAGAGGGACTCTGTCTTTTGGGTCATCGTGGCCTGGCTCCTGGTAGATATGTTTCTTGGTCGTTTATTGACAGGTTCATCCTCATCCTTCTCATCAGCAGCTCGTCGATGGCCGTGTTCCTCAGGATGAAGCTGATAATTTGCTGTGGACTTACTCTGGTACTCAAACTGGGTCTGTACACCAGCATTTCTTTTGGGGAGCTCTAGACAGGTTTGTTTGCAGACATCACACACAGACACACTTTTAATGGCATTTTCAGAGTAACTTTCCCCCATGTTGTGGGTCTTCGTGGGGTAGTTTCCGGGAAACACTTGCAGTGACTTGTCACTGTATGGGACGAGGGCAGCAGTTGACTGTGGTACCATATGTCTCCAGTAATCAGCTATAAGTAGCCCATAAGTTGCAAAATTGAGCTGCATAGCCAGTGCATCTCTGGCCTTGGCAAGGTTAGATGCTTTTTCTTCAGCTCTGCGAATTACAGATTCTAACTTCACAAAACGCCCTCGGTGTTCCTTCTCAAGTACCTGGGGAAAAATCAAAAATATTTTTTTCCTTACATAGACAAGACAATTACCCAATACTGTACAACTTTTTAACATGTTGAATGTCAATTTGCTAACTTTTCTAACCATCTGACTTTTCTGAGCTAAACACTTTGGCACTGTCAATAACACTGTAAACTGACCAACCTGTAAATCTCTGACTCGTCGGTGTAGCTCTCTGGAGATCTCCTGTTCCTGGGATAGAGAAGCACTGAGCAGATTCTCCATCTCCCGTGCTGCCTCCATCTGTGACTCCAACCTGAGGTGAGGTATATTTATATTAATTTATTGTTTATATCTTTAACTAATGAAAGAAAACTAGAATTTATTGAAAAATTTGCCATCAACATGACAGTGGACACAAAGTTGTTCAGTCTGCTTGGTGTTACTTCTCATAAACTTTGTGATCAGAGGTGCTGTAAAATCAGACAAAAGTTGCCTTACATGCCTGTGTGAAGCTGTACCAGGCCCTAAACAGTTACTATTGCTCAGAATTAAGGGTTAGCCAAGCTCAACAGTTCAGTCTCAGGCTTGTAAGGAGATTTTTGCCTCAAGTTATCACACAGGATAATCTGATGTACGAGTATGAATCATACTCAAACATGATCAGGGCCGGATTTACCCACTTGTGGGGCCCCAGGCCAAACTCATCAGTGGGCCCCAAATTTATAGAAATGTTTGCATGTTTCAATGACTGACTGCATGACTGGCTGAGCGAGCTGTCAGCAAACCAATGGTAACCCTGACACGTACTGAACGTGAAACGATCCTGTCCTTCATACGTCAAGGCGCTGAAGGTTTCTTGAACTTTATTTTCATTTTCTCTCTCTCCAGTATATACTATGTATATACTAGTTGATTGATTTTCCCGGATTTTATCAAGATATATATATATATATATATATATATATATATATATATATATATATATATATATATATATATATATATATATATATATATATATATATATATATATATATATATATTATCTTATTTCATCTTATTTTCTTCATTTGACTATAGGGCCCACCTGAGAACCACCCCATGGCCCACCAGTTGGAGACCATTGCGGGCTTATACTTATTGTACCGGGGCCCTTATGGTTGTGAATATATTATATAATGAAATACTCGGTGTACACTTGAAACAAGGTTATACGCTGGCACGCTGCGCGACAAATTAGTTTAGTGGGCCCCCAGATACCGGTGGGCCCTTGGCCAATGGCCTACTTGGCCTACTGGTAAATCCGGCCCTGAGTATGATTATCATTAGTCTAGTACTGCACACACACACACACACACACAAAAGGGCGGATCCAGGGGGCGGGAGGACCAGGGGGCCCTTTTCATCAGAAAATTCCAATACCTTTTCTTTAATGCAGTATTGTACGCAGGCATTTTTGTATGGTAAAACTTAATTACTATTGATCTCAGAATATCTCATGACATCAAGTGCACATGGCTTAAAAATGGCCCCAAAATGCCCATGATATTGGTCAGAAAAAAGGGGGGTGGTTACGGCCCCCTCCCCCTTAAACACCCCCAGCTGGGTGGGTGTGTGTGTGTGTGTGTGTGTACTATTCAGGCACAGTATTTCAGTTGACAAAAGCGGTCAGTGGAAAACTAACTATGGGAACAAGTTAAAAAGTACGTTAGGTAGAATGATTTCTACTTAAAATTAACAATATTCCCAGGGCCTTGACACACAAGACTAAGACACGGTTTAGTCAAGTACATTACAGCACTCGGCAATGCATTCAAATTTGATAACAGCGTAAAAATTCTTGTCTAAAAAGTTTTAAACAATATATCATGACTCAACCCAGCAGCAAACTCTTATGATACACACTTACAGTACACACCAATCGTTATACAGTACTGTAATTATGAACCACTCATTGAGGCTGGGGCGTTAGACCAGATTCCTGTAGAATGACACAGCCTGGTTTACATACTGTAGTGTGTGTTACTGTAGTGTGTGTATGTTACTGTACTCTAGTGTGTGTGTGTGTGTGTGTGTGTGTGTTACTGAGCGCGATTTTTTTTAGTAAAAAATGTGTGTACACTCGCTACAGAAAGTATCTGTATCAGTAGGGTGGGGTCCGATGGATGTCAAAATGAACACTCCTATTTTCTCGATAAGGTTGTTAAAATTCTTCGTCAGCTGTGTCATATTATCTAGCAAAAAAAAAGTGTAGATATTTTTTGTATGATATACTGTATAAATACGGCGAAGATGAGCGACAAATGAAATGAAATATCACCCTACCTTGTAACCTGCTCTTAGTTAATTAAAGGGTTGCACCACCTACACAGCTGTAGATTAAAACTATGGCACTATTTCTATCCCCATGGTGTAGTTAATACCACCAGTGTCCAAAGCGTGTTGTTTTCACTGAATACAAAAATTTACCGTGTACCTTAGCCATAATTAATGATTTTGCTCTCAAATGCAGTCTCTCGTCACTAGTACCTGTTGCCTACATGAAAACAACAAATTAGTGCTTCCTTAGACAATATGCTGTATTGTGAGTGCGATTATATGCGGTTTCCTATGTAGTCAAGAATAGTTGTTAGTATACTTATATGTAATTAATATACATTATGTGCATGTTATGTGGGGTAGTTTGTGACTGAATACAGTAAACAATTTTGTTATTTCTCCCAGCGCCTCCCGCCCCTACCACTCATTATCATAACCTACCAACTCGAGATGGCAATCACGGCAGGCGAGGCGTATTATTTTCACAGATTGTGGTCCCCGCCAGTAATTATGTGCTTTAATAACAACGCAAACCGTAATTATCTAGCTCGCCCTCCGGGCCAACACGGGAGAAAACAAATCGGGAATTAAAAAAAGAAAAAAAAACATGAAACCCGGAAGCAACAGACAACAAACACACTGCTTCCCAAGCCACGGAGGGGGGGCCTTTAAACCAGTCCCCCGTTGTTTACTACAGACTGTAAAAACAACCAGTGAATGATGGCTCTTTTTGGTCAACTAAATTTAACCAAGATAGAAGCATCACTTTTTTCGGAAATTATAATAAACACGAGATTTTCAAGAAGACGAACAACTCGCTATTATGTTATCATTTCCACGAAGTAAATGTACAATGCGGACAGAAATAGGTATAGTGCACTAAACACGTTTATCTTCGAAGGGGATCTTATTGCCACACATCCGTCCCGCTTCCTGACATACGGTACAGATAATTTCCTTACTGCATATACGAATAATTACTCTGAATTTAGCACCAAAATATTTGTCCTAAGTCTCTATGGGCTAGTTTAAATCACCCGTGTAATTAAATGAATTCGATTTTATTCTTTAATGGCACGAAGTTAATACTCTCGTCCCCACGCCTATACACTCACTGCTGCTGTTGATCGTGCAGGCTTATCAAGGCGCCCCTGGTGGGTTGTACCTCAGCCCGTAACCTTATCCCATTCCTTTTGTGTGGCGAGGTGCGTCGTTGGCCAGACATCATTCCGTTGGTCAGGCCAGCCACGTCCGGGGGAAGTGGCTGTTTACCTGGTCTAAGCGTCTGGTTGAGGAGGAGGTGAAGAGTGTAGAGGTCCATGGTGGCTGCAGAAGGATCATGAGTGAGGCCTTGGTTCGCCGTGCCCCTCGCTGCTCCTGCTGGTGTTGTTGCTGACCCGCCACCACACCACACAACACGCCTCCCCCGTGCTGGACATCCTGAGGTACGTTTACCACTCGTTTAGGAAGGTTTAATGATTTACGAATTAATCTTTTGTAGGAGCATAGTTGTGTTACTGCTTGTAGACATAGCGAACATTGTTGTAAAAACTCGCATCTTATCAGCACAGTTTCTCTTTATATACAAACAGGGATTTCCAGTTTACTTTTGTTATCTCTCAATATCTTTTAAAGATATAACATTCTTTCACTGATGGCACAGTCAACCTCAACCAAATAAGAAATAATAGTTTTCAGCATCTGAACATAACTTTCAGTTTCTTGGTCACTATATTATAAATGCATATCTGGTTCTTCATTGCACTGTATACTGTATATAATATATCCTGAGGCAGGAGGGTGGCAGTGTGTGGCCCGGCTACCAGGAGGCTACTGCCTGTGTCGTCTCTTCTTCGTCCTCTAAACAGCAACAAAATGACTTCTTCTGGCATACATTAAGGCTGGTATTCCTATTGCAGAAGCAGCGTGTGTTATGCCGTGAGGTTCGTGGGGGAGTTTAGGCCAGGGGTTGCATGCGAGGCGTCAGTGAAGGTGGTGTGAGGCAGGAAGGGTGAGCCCAACTCACCCTGTAATAACAACACCGACCTTGGTGCCTTGGCGTAAAGACGCTGGTGAATCGATTTCCTTTCTTAAGATTTAGCGGTGAAATTCGTACAGTAATTAAGATTATATTTAGAGTAACGCACTACACCGGCGACGCCGAGTTACTGAGGATTGGTCTAGGCGTGATGATGGTTGGTGTGGAGGTTGCGTGTGAGTGGGCGGAGTATATCTCGTTCGTGTGAGGTGAGTGGGCGGTGTGTGTATCGTACGTGTGAGTGGGCGGTATCTGTATCGTACGTGTGAGTGGGCGGTGTGTATCGTACGTGTGAGTGGGCGGTATCTGTATCGTACGTGTGAGTGGGCGGTGTGTAGTGTTACGACAGTCCATCACTAAAGGTTACCCGAGTCTTGAGCCATTTATAGTAACGAGCAATCATCACAACTAATCTTAGGTGTTTACAGACCCAATCTCCATGACCAAGGTAAATACAGTATCAACAACACGAGTAGATAATACACAAAGAAACAGGAAAACAAACTGAAGAGTAAACAACTAACTCAGAGAAATAGCAATGTTTAAGGCTCGTAAACATACACACAACATATATGAAGAATTCCTAAGTAACACAATGGGAATAAAAATATGAGGGTAAGTAAGAGCAGCAGTCAGTATTGTACAGTGATGTGGGAAGATTATACGCGGATGAACAAGATGACAATACAATATCCACTGAGACACAAACTCGTACATTAAATTCAACCAAAAAGTGACGATGCTAAATTTTAACAAAAACACTGGATGATGTAAATAATTTAAAAGGAATTAACGTAAAATTAGGGATTATGAGGACAAGGGTGATGACTTTTTGAGGCTGTACGGAAGGGAATGACACCAAGTGATAATACAAACTTGGAAGACCAGACATATACATACTCGAGGAGGAAATAATTTGAATAACTACGAGAAACTTTTGGATTAAAGCCTAACAATGTATCCTAACAGATTGTGGATTAAAGCCTAACAATGTATCCTAACAGATTGTAGCCGAACAGATTGTAGCTTAAAGGGGAAAATATATGCTGGGAGAATTCCTTAAAACCAAGAATGAGAGAGAGAGAGAAAAGAAATAAGTGTTTAAAAGAGAAAGAACAACAACTCGGGTAATACTATACAACATCTGGTTAGGTTAGAAAACAGATGCCCTTCTCCATCACTTACCTCTGAACCATAAGACGCGAGTCGTTTTCCTCCTCTTCCAGTTCACACTTTTCATCAAATACCTCTCGTCGCGCTCTCTCAGACGCTGTAAGTCGCTGCCTCAGGACGCGAATCTCACCCTTCAGGGCTTCTTCTGCGTCTGTCCCATGGCTGTACACAAGAAGAAATTTGTGGTATCAACAATTTGAATCGTATTTTTTTTTTATGTGTGAAATTCTCATACGAAATCTTGCAATAACAATGATCCGATTTGCCAATTCTAAGTTGATTAATTTCACAAAAGATGGCGGCACATGTCAACTGGTTAAAGATGTTTCTCCTCACCCTGAGCTGTATTTTCTAAACTGATCCTTGATGGATTCACACTCGAGTATCAGCTGTTCCTTCTCGCACTTGAGGTGTTCAAGTTCCCGCTGAAGACACCGCTCACCCTCCACGATGCTGTCATACTCCAGCTTAGTCAGACTCACCCGCTCGTCATCCAGGGCCGCCTTGAGGTATTCATCACTCTCCTGCATCACACACAAGTACACAATTACCAGACCAGAACGTGGTAATGTTCAGGCCATCTGCAGCAGACACTAGTGTAGACCAGGAATTTTCAAGTTGCTTACAAAATCATCAGCTCCTTGGATGGTATCAACGAAATAACAATTATCACTAGTGAACTGAACTTCATTAAAAGTGAAATATTTCTTAAACGTGAATTACAAGTACAGATACACATTACTGTAGTGAAGTTAACTGGAGACTTGAGATTAATTATTGGTTTTACCTGCAGGTGGTATGACGTAACACCAACTACTTACCACAACAAGTAAACATTACCTGTAGGTCTTGGAGTCTCAGGTGTCTCAGGTCGCGACCCTGTACAGTAGACCTTATGGCAGCCAGGCGAGCCACGGCACTCTGTAGGTCAACCTCCGCCTGCTGGATGTCACACTCAGACTTGTCGAGGTCGACCTCATGATCCAACACAGACACCTGTGACTGATTCAGCCAAGGAGCGTCAAACAGTCAAACACAGCTCATGCACAAGCACAAAATGCTAAGCTTTTCACTATCAAAGCTTGAAGAGTTGTTGATGCATTATTATTTATATACTCACACAATTAGCATATGAATGTATTAGCACACATTAGCTGCCGAAACATTGTAGTAAAACATTATCAGACAGGGAAGCAGAACAGTGTAGAATATGTGTATTATTTGAGTAGCGAAGTTAGCTGCATGACAGTAATTCATAAGCTGCGGTGTTACAACCTCTTGGGGTACCGAGACGAGACAGAAAGACCAACACACAGACACACGTATGTCAGCATGCATTCACATTACGTTAGAAACACATCCACACTAGCGATCACATTCCCTCAGAAAATTTCATTCTCATCTTATCAATATTATTAAAAAAATCCACATTTACAAACATTATGGTACGAACATTGTCACCTAACCTAACCACACACGTCATAATACGGTCACAAAGCATGAACGGGTGAGAGAGAGGGGGTGGGGGACTGTTGGCGGCAGGAGACATGCAGACAGAGAGGAGAGCAGCACCAGCAGGAGGCACCAGCTTAAGTTCCTCACTCACCAGGTCGGTCTGTGTGGTGACGTGAACCAGCTCGCAAGACGTGTCGAAGATCCCAGACTCCTGGAAACTGGTGGTGGCGTCTAAGGCAGTCACCATCTTGACAGGCCGGTGCTGCTGCGGGCGGGGAGCAACACAACCAACCTCACTCATACATACATACAACCACACGCTTTGTTTATCTTATACTGAGTAGCCAACCCTAGTGCTCTCTTTTTGATCATTTTAATAATTGTCTTGTTTTGTGCATCTTGCTTATATACTGCATAAATACAGCAAAGATGTCAAGCAACACATTTTACTACACACTGTAGCCTATATACAGAAAATACCAAAAGCTACAGTCTTTTTATTTGAAGCTTCTATTAATACAGAATATCATGCTACATTGATTAACTTGTAAATTAAATACAGATGCAGTATAATGTGAAGCTGATATACATGACGCAAAAGGCTCACTAAAAAGCAATACTGTATCATATTCTATCAAAATGTCTTCTATAACGATAAATAGGTTTTGTATTGGCATGACAGGTGTAAAGCATCCAGCATTGTTACCTGGACATGTTCTGGGGAGTCACTCTCAGCGTCGCTCAGGTCCGAGTGTATGGACGGCGTCTTGCGGTGCACCAGTTCACTCTCCGTCCCAGATGCCTCGGTCCGCGTCTCGTGAGCCTCACTTAGGTTTGTTACCGCCTCCTGTAACTCACGATTTTCCTCCGTCAGGTTCACCACACGTTCCTGAAGCTCTGATAGGGTGCTGTCAAGCATACGTAGTTTCTGTAATGATGAATAGTTACACGTTAGCTATTTTAATGGAGGCGGTGGCGGGGTGGGAATTATATTGGCTTGGCAGCCCATTGGTCCCAGACTAAACTCTATCTCCTAGTTAATCACAACACTAAAGGACCTGTACACCCCCGATTGTTGTTACTAATCGCTTTCTTACCCAGGAGATATGTTTAATGTTTATGCACAATTTATAATATTTCAGCGCTTATTCAATAACGCTAACTGTTTAACATGGGCACAGGAGGCACATGAAGGCCTAACAAGCAATGTGAGGTGAGGTGGGCACTGACCGTGATGGTGTCAAGCAGGACGGGCTCCTGGGCAGCAGGGTCTGTAAGAGACTCCTGCAGGCGGGCGGCCAGCAGCATCAGGTCCCGCCCTAGGTCACAGCCTAGCTCCTCCACGCCCATCCTATTCTTGGGTGTGGGCGTGGGCGTGGCCAGAGTGGGGCTCATGGGTGAAGACAAGGCATGATGGGTGTGAGTGGGAAGGGCAGCCACCCAGTCGAGGAGGGCGGCCAGGTGGTGGGCGGCGGGATTCTCCTGGTCGCCGGCCGCGCGGGATAGCTGAGCCAGCCACACCCGCCCTTCAGACACGCGCGCCTTCTGAAACACAACACAAGACCCGAGTTAACACCACTATTACCACCACACTGATAATCATCACCCGAACTATTTTGACACATACATATTTCCTACATAATACCTACCAAGCCTTTTTTAACAAGAATTATTAAAAAAAATCAGCATCTAAGAAGCATAAACAAACAAAAATTCACAAAAAATCACTAAAGGAACATAATTAAAACAGCTCGCCGTATCAAACAACAGAGGTACCAGCACACCTCCACCTCCCTGCGGTATGACCTGCACTGAGATACGACTCCCAAGAACGATGTACTGTATACATCTAACACTACACATGACGAGTGACCTAAAACTTCCACCTTTTCTCTCCTGATAGACAGACATGCTAACCTTCCAAATGGTATTAAGGTGCAATGAAACTCTGCTATTCCCGACTGTCGAGAGATCCACATTCACTCTAAACTACCTCATTTGGCAGTTTATATCAAATCATTCTGAAAATATGATTAATCGCAAAAATGCAACTACACCGTATAACAAGGTTCATGTTATCTGTCAGGTGTTTGTGTAGCCTACGTGTACTGGTAACACTGTGGGCTGAGCGAGGTTATCTTGTACTGGTAACACTGTGGGATGAGGGTGGTTAACTACACATTCTATCCCCCAGAGCTGTAGTCAAAAGTGCTCTAATTTCTAAACGTAACGAAACAACGTGTTTTAAATTTTCAAAAACTAACTTGACAAATGTGCTCCAATTTAGAAAAGTTAAAAAATCAAAAGTAATCTGATTTTACAACACCTAACAAAACACACGAGTAACAGACGGTCGGCGCCAAGTAGCCCAGTGCACTTTTTGTCATCAGCCAGTGGTAATGCTACACCTGAGCCTCGTATCTCCTGCCTCACCAGAGTTTATCACAAGAGCCTAGCACCTCTGGTATCTGTGGTGAGAATCCGCAGGAATCCTCCCCCAGTAGACCAGTGATATTGGGCACTGTTCACACCCATCTTGATACACTATCAGGCCCCACACTACACTGAGAGATCGGTGTGAAGCCACGTCACTCACAGATTGGGCAGGGAAAGCATTGAGCTTCTCCAGCCAACGTCAATGCCCTTCCACTTTACTGCTCTCACACACACATCCACCATATGTGCTGGGCATTATAAACCACCCATGTAACAACGCAAAGTTTTTTTTTAACACACTTAGCATTATCGTTATCAGGCAGGCAAGGATGTTTTCGTTACGTTAAATCAATATAGCGAAGCACGCGAGGATGTTGGACGTGGGATATATCAACATTAGCAAATAGGCAGGGATTTTTTTAATAATAAACAAGAAGTATTTGACAGGAACGTGTAAATGACTAATAATAAACCAAGAACATTAGAAAACACACATGGTCTTGCATTTGATAAGCCAACAATGTTATCACTGGAGGTTTCGTCACAGTAGGCTACCCTTCAACACACACACACACACACACACAAATTTGCTTGAAAAACCCGTACGTATGAAAAGCATCCCCGTATTAACATTACTCCAGAGCTTCATTACTTCCCTCTTCTTGTAGTTTTTTAACTTACAGGTAACTTATAGCCTTGTATGACCGTGTAGACTAACCTAACCTAAAGTAGCCACACGGCCCTGAATTGAGAGTGCAGTCCACCTGGGCACTTAACATGCACAGCCTACCACTAGATCGCCTCGTCCTACACCCCTGCCCCTCTTCCCTAGGCAAAACCAGCTACAATGCACCACTATACGCCGAGGTTAGTGACTTGGGCTATGTGTCAGGATAAATAATACATCATTATTGATTTATAGACAGGCGTAGTGTCAACCGCGGCGAGTGATGAGCTGCATGATACTGCTCACCACCACCAGGCTACCTCACGCTGCTGCCAGGGTTAGTTAAGAACATAAGAATGGAGGAAACTGCAGCGGGCCTATTGGCCCATACTGGGCAGTCCCGTTTACACCCAACCCCTATTGCTCATATAAGCATCCAACCTATGTTTGAAGCTATTCAGTGTATTCGAGTTAATGATGATATTTGGTAACTTATTCCATTCATCCACTACTCTGCTTCCAAACCAGTGTTTACCTACTTCACGCCGAAATCTAAATTTGTCTAATTTAAAACCATTGTTACGAGTTCGCTCCTGGTTGGATAGTTTGAGTACCTTTGTAATGTCCCCTTTGTTTAGCCCTGCCTTCCATTTATACACCTCTATCAGGTCGCCCCTTACTCTACGTCTCTCGAGGGAGTGCAAATTAAGATGCTTTAACCTGTCTCTATACTCAAGGTTCCTAATGCCCGGGATTAGTCTTGTCATTCTCCTCTGGATTCTTTCCAGGGATTGTGATGAGAGTTTTCATGACCTAAGGAGTAACTAAAGATAATTGAGCCTTGTCGTACCTGTGTTTCTAACCTAACCAAACATACTCTATGGCTGTGCTACCCAAGACGTCAACACTGCCCTGTGATTTCAAATGCTTTTGTTTGGGGAAGTATCTACCTCCACTTTTAACAATTAAACAGTAATATTACATAAAAAAATAGATTAAAGTAATTCACAATCAATAAACAAACTAAGCTCGTCTGAAGGCACACTTTCACCCAAATTAAGAAGCGATACACAGGCAGGTATATAAATTCTAACCTAACCTACCCACACCACCAGCCACCCACCTCTCCCTCCCTCCCTCGAAAGTAATAAGAGAAGCGTCTAATCCCATCATATTATGTTCCTGGTATCATCCCTGCCTCTCCCTCCCTCACCTTCAACCCACATCTGACCTATCACCACACACACACACAGGCACACACGGGCACTCATTGTCACGTGATGCGTATTGTCAACACAGCGTTACCATGACAACAAAGCAATATGCGAGAGAGGAAGGTTTATGTAAAGGTACTCCAGTGTACAGGTGTTATAACTATACCAGTAATGATAAAAACAAGAACAATGTTACTACTACCACCACTACTACTACTAACAATAATAATACTGTAATAATAATAATAATAATAATAATAATAATAATAATAATAATAATAATAATAGCAATAATAATAAATAATAATAATAACAATAATAATATAATAATAATAATAATAAAAATAAAAATAAAATATTCACGAAGACGACGATGATAATAATAATAATAATGCAATAATGAAAAGAAAACACTCCAAGGGGAAACATTAAAAACAATCAGACAGACAGAGCCAATCTCTACGACCTCGCTATCTGATGGGCGGGGAGGGGGATAATAACGACACACAATAGACCGTTCATTATTCCACAACACAACTTCCTCCCTGTGAAATTTTAGGTCAGTGTTGAGAGAGAGAGAGAGAGAGAGAGAGAGAGAGAGAGAGGCCACGAAACTTCATTCTAATCATGCATGCAGGTGAAATTTACCCCCCTCCCCACACAGGTGAACACTAATGAACGAAGGCAAGGTTAATGAATGACAGTGACCCCACCTTTGGACCGATAAATTAAGGTACAGCGTAATTCAAGACACCTATGTACACCCAGTAACACGAAATGACACCTGGGGGTTAGGTTAGGTTGGGGCCCTAAAGTTGACGTCTCCCTCTGGCTAACCTAACCTAACCTACACTGCTGGTAAGAGAGAAGAGATGGCTGTAAATAGTTGAATCTCCTCGACACAGCAACGACGAGGTGAAGGTGTGGGGAGAGGGAAGGTGTGGGGAGAGGGAAGCAAATGCAGGACAATGAGAAATGGGGAGGGAAGGGAACTTGGATCCACCCATGGGAAGAGAAGGAAGGGTGGAGCAGGTAAGGAAGGGGGAGAGTAGGGCGGGTAAGGGAGAGTCGTATTGAACACAAAAGAGCTAAGAGAAGGGTTAGGAGGGCAGTCGAGAGGGGTAGAGGGAGGGCAAGTGGTGGTTGAGGATCGAGTGTGGTAGGGGCGGGCATGAAGGGTTGGCACATGGCCAGGATGCGGTTCGAAGTTCTCCTAACCTGACCACCAGGGATCAGCAGCTTCCGGAGGGGGGGGGACACTCCCGGGTGATTAGGCTAGGTTAAGTTCGGAAGGCAGCGTGACCGTGAGATATGCAAGATTCGTCGACTGGAACGTACGTGTGTGTAAAGGAGAAGAGGGTTGGGAGTGGTGTAAGGGAAGAGGGTGATGTAAAGAAGAGGAGGTAGCTAAGGGGAGGAAGAGGGTCGTTGCAAAGTGAGGAGGGTGAGAGGATTAGGGAGGGGGGAGGGTGAAGGTCTTTTACTAAGGGTGAGACAAAGATGGAGGCACCCTAACACCACCGTCAATCTTACCCTACTGCTGCCCCTACTACAAGCTTCACCCCTACCACACCACCTCTAACACCTAAGTAACGTCACCACCGTTGCATCATCTATTTACAGGAAGAAGCCATAACTGAGGTGTTGGTAAGTGTTGTCTCATTACCTGTGTTACTTACGTGTGTGTGTGTGTGTATATCACCTGCCCAACACACACACACACACACACACACAAGGAATAATGTAATAATGTTTTAAGTTTCCCAGCCGCTCCTTCGTTCACGTGATCTAGTAACTACCAATCAGAAGTGCTCATCCAATCCATCATTAAGCCTGTCAGTCGGTCTTCCACCAGCAGGAGGTTGTAATGTAGGTGAGAACTGGTTCTGTGAGCCGGAGATGACGAAGGGTAGTTCCCTCAGGCCTCAGTAGTCCACTATCACCACTGTATCCCCAACTTGGTGGTGGTAACAAAAAGTCCTCTAACCTAACCTATATATAACAAAGACACTATTTAACATATACAAACTCTCTCCAACTACGAGCAGTGTGTAGTTTAGTGGCGTATGTAAACCGTGGTGCGTGACTAGTGTTCTCACCTATCTACTTACACCAATAGGGAAGAACTAGGAACTACAACTCTTATACATGGTGGTGTCTGAGCTAGCAGTGTGGAGGGGTAGCCGGGGCACGGGGTAGAGATATACCATCAAGTTATCTGAGAGATCATGTGGCGGGGTGAGGTACAGTGGAGCCCGGATCGCCCACCCCCCTCCCCCCCGGCGATCCTTGGCTACCCACCTGAGCGTCTCTTTGGCTACACCATTTCGTTCTACTACACGAATGGAGGACTGGACTGTTACTCTCTCTCTACCACACATCAAAAACCTGGAGGAGCTGACACTACCACAACTTCGTCAGTAGAGGTGTTTGATGGAGGTGATGACGCGTGGGGGGGGGGTGGGGGGCGGGAACCAGCCACCGTTATTTGGGGGAGGATACCCGCCAATAACCGCTGTTTAGTACCCCCCCCCCCTTTAGTTCCCTCAATCATAACATCAAAGACCAACCAATCAAATGACTTGCCTTATAATCGTTGGATATGTCGACTCCCGAATCTATAGAGAGCGGCAGCGACAAGTCCTCATTGGTTACAGCACTACTGACGTCATCCAAGTCGGTGCTAGTTGATTGGTCGCGCGTTTCTACCGTTGCAACCGACTCTGATCCCTGGAAAAAAGAAAAGTGACGTCAGTACATATCAACATGAAGTATTTGATCAACATTTATGACGAAAGAATTGATCACTTTTTGTTTTTACGGAATAATTGGAATCTTGAGAGGCGAGGGAGTATGGAGACGACAGCTGGAGGTTCTTCACTAGACCACCTCATCTATGGCACGGAGGAGGAGTAGGAAGAAAAGGAAGGAGAGAAGGAGGAGGAAGGAGAGAAGGAGGAGGAAGGGAAGAAAAGGAAGGGAAGAAGGAGAAGGGAAGAGAAGGACTTTATCTCTACCAAGAACACTTTATTTAACAGACCTCTGAGGACACACTTCATTATTAACTTTTTTACCCTCTGTACCAAACACTTTAAAATCTTCCCACATACAGCTGCTGCACAATACACAGCTGCTGCACAATACACATCTGCTGCACAATACACACCCCCTTACACGTATACACTACCAGAATACACCAAGTTCATAGTTTCCAGACGTCCATCGATAATCTCTTCATATATATATACCGTAGCATTAATTCAACCACAAAGACGTACAGCATATACCGAACAGTGACATCAATAACGAACGGGGGGAGCGACCTTCTGAACGCCGTTAAATTAATGAGACTTGGCACCGTTCACAATGCAGGTAAGACAGGTGTGTGTGTCTCTTCCGTGACCACCAGCCTTACCTCACCGATACAGTGTGATTACCTTAACACACACCGCCTTCAGGATACGACGATGCCTCCACCACGCAGTATAGATCTACAGGAGATAGTCTATTGTAGCACCTGTCCTAAAGGTACGGAGGTAATTTAGTAACCCGACTGACTACACGAACGTAAACACAGCGACATTGGAATGAGTTGAATTATTCCTTGGGACCACAATGAGAGAGAGAGAGAGAGAGAGAGAGAGAGAGAGAGAGAGAGAGAGAGAATCATCGACGTCCTTGAGTGTCGTGACGCCTCGATAATTAAGCCAGCACCCGGGACAGTGTAACAGCTGTATAGGGGGAAGGATGCCGAAGGACAGTGAAGGATATCTACTACACCACCAAGGACACACCGTTCCTTCACAGTTGGGTCCTGTGATCCAGTTCTCATGGCACAGGAAGGAAGACCTCGCCGGGACGCCATAGGTAAATATGCCGTTCATGGGAAGCAGGTAAACAGGTAAGTATATCAAGGAAGTTAGACAAGAGGAGAAAGCTGAGGAAATTAGTCACGTCACGAAACATACGAGAGGAAAGAGGAAAAACTCCCAATAACAATGACGGGTAAAAACAAGAAAAAACAAAATCACAAAAGAAAATGCAACAGAAGAATGAAACAAGACTTGAGCCAAGACCTTGAAGACTATACTGGTGGAGAGACAAGGAGGCCAACACTCCTGAGAGATGAGGCCATGAGAAACAACAATGGCACCTACGTCATGTTCCTCACACCACCTGACACCATATTTCCCAGGGCAAGTCTCCAAGGGGGGGACACACGAAATTTCTTAACCCAATTGTAGCTTAACCCTGGTACGGTACACTCTGCCTCCTCGACGGTACACTCTGCCTCCTCGACGGTACACTCTGCCTCCTCGACGGTACACTCTGCCTCCTCGACGGTACACACCCGAGGTAAAAAAACAAATCATCGTCGTGTTCAGAGTGTAAGTGTGTCCAAGACCTTATGAACTATCCCATTGTTCTGAAGATAATGCAATACGTGAGCTACAACTTTATGGTAAGTGCGAGTCAAAAGTGCCGGCGGCTCCCTCCTCCCTGTAAGTACAGAATATTAACCCTGCACCACCGTTATCTCTTCGGTGTATTATCAATAAATCTCGTAATAATTTAGATAAGAAAAATCCTACAAACATCTACAGATTTCCTGGCTGCTGTAGCCGAGTCTCCCCCTCCTGCCCAATCTTGTTAATTTCCTGCCCTCCCCCCTACCCAGTCTTCTTAATTTCCTGCCTCAACTCCCCTCTTCGAATTACCATGTTAATATCACTTACAGCCTAAAGAGGTAGTTTTTGTCACCTGAACTGAACGAGGTAGTTGAAGGTGTGTCCTACCCACCTTATTAAAGATGGTTCATGCCCACTTCATCAACTCTGAAAATGTCACAGATTACCAAAATGTCTACAACCAGTTAATGATCTCTGAACGTTACTTTACCCATTTATTGTTACTCTGCCTCAACGTTATAATATATCCTCTAACTTTATGATAAAATAATTAGGTGTATATTAGTAGCTGTTGATATTATGGGACGAATTTCTTAACATTTGTATTTATTTATTTTAGAAATTATTGATTGTTAGCATAATTAAATCGAATGTATTCAAGATATTTAAGTTAAAACAATGTATTTATCCGCTTGTTGTCAAATGGTGTCAAGTTGTCAACATTTCAAAGGAACCGCTGAACTGAGGCGGCCGTCAAACACTTTACAGGGCTGGACAACCTACCGCCTTTCCCCTCCCCACCAGTAAAACATGTTCATAAATTACAAAGTTAACACCAGAGGCACATCATATTTCCCACATCATCTAGGAGGTACAGTGGCGCCCCTGCAGTCGTGTAACAAGCTATCATTTTACATGTGACTGTGTAGCCTGCAGTCAACCCCGGAGTCATGGGCCAGTAGAGTGGGTTGGTGCTTGTTGCTGGCGTCGACCACTGAGACACTACCACCACCAGGCCCTCGTCCACCCTTAAGCAAGACCAGTTTCATTACCCTGCCAGCTAGATTACCTGTGAACCGCCATCAACAAGGTCTCCCACCTGTTGATTGTTATTGCTGAACAGGTTATAATTGATCCGTCTCAACATCCGGCGATTAATCATTGTTATTACCAGAACAAGTGATAGAGGTTACGACAGTCCCCCCCCCCGTCACCCAGCAGCGGTTCCTCCTCCCCACGTTAAAGGTGATCTTGCTACTGACGAAGTGAGAACCATCTACGAGGCTTTCTCAGGAACTTACGTCATGTCTCTTGCCTCATGTACAGTATATCAGGCGTATAGAGGTGTGACGTACGTGTGTGTGTGTGTGTGTGTGTGTGTGTGTGTTTTTCCATGTCAATAAAAGATCCAAATACAACAAAAATTAAGAGAATAAAACACCTGAGGTAGAATTAAATCACAACACCTGTAATTACCGTACAGTATGTGGTTGATTAGCTACTTGGTGATTTGTCCCTTGAGCCCATAATAATAACGGAGAGAGAGAGAGAGAGAGAGAGAGAGTTACAAGGTGTACGTGTAATGGAATGGGAAGGGAAAGAGGGAGTGGTGAGTGGGAAGGTGAGTATGAGGGGGAAGGAAGTGAGGGTAGCTAGGGAAAAGGATGAGAGGAGGAATAGGGAAGTGGAGGGGTCAAGGAGGATAAGGGTGGGTGGGGCAGGGGGTGGAAAGGAAAGGGAAAGGGAGGGAAGGGGGGGAGGAGGGAGGGAGTAGAGGGGGAGGAGGGGAGGGGAAGGGAAGTAGAGGGAGGAGGGAGGGACCAGAGCCCCAGACAAGTGAAGGAAGACCCAACAAAACGGTCATAAATCAGACCTGACCTGGGGCGGCAGGGAGGAGCCTCTAACCTGGGAGAAAATTTCTTCCCTATTGTCGAGGCAAAACTGACAGGTAGAAATAATGTGTTGGAGTGAATAGTGTCAGGGTGGGTGGGTGGGTGGGTTGGTAGGTAGGTGGCGCTCTTCACCTACTGTACCTCCATCACCTTACACCCCTCACCACCGAACATCCTACACTCCAACGCCTCGACGAACCATGGGATTTGCGTGTGGATACGGTAAGAGGATGGCCACTGGACGAAAAATTGTGTATAGGCATAAAAAATGTGGCTATAAAGTGGGAGGTGGTGAGGTGGGGGTGGGGTGGGGGCGAGGTGGAGTGGGAGGGAGGGAGGTGGGGTGAGAGGGAGGGAGGAGGAATGTGATACCGGTATTGGATTAGACCAGTGTGAAGGTCGAATCTTGTAAATATATATACATAATACCAATAACTGAGTGAATGAGGGATTTTATGGCCTTGGAGAGAGAGAGAGAGAGAGAGCTGGAGGGGTCACGTTGAGCCATACAGTAACCGCGAGGAATCCATACAAGACCTCAGGTACACACCACAGTGAACCCTGACTCTACGACACAAACTTACACCTACGGTACACTCTCCTCTTCTGTTTCTGTACATTAAACTCAAGCTCGCGACGCTCAAACTTACCTCTCCACACAAACCGAATCACAAACGTCTTCAACACACGGCAAGTTTCCACAGGAGACAAATAGGTTAGGATTATCCGGTAATCTCATTTCGGGGTGATCATCCTCCCTCCCATCATCAATTTTCCACCTCGGTAATAACACACGCGTCAAACACCCGGGACAAGGGTCGACCATACCCCCTGAAGCTATAGAATTAAGGAATTACTTTAAATCCGGGTAAATACAGCGAGGGCGGGACTAGGGCAGGGGGGCATTAGTGGTCCCCGTGACCCTGGACCACCAAGACGGGGCACTAGAGATGGGGAGCGTAGGAGGGGAGAGGACAAAGGGCATGTCCATATAGCGCGTGTCTCTGGTATTTCCTAGTGACGTTCTATTGTTTATCATGGTGGTGAGACAGACACGCGGACGCTCCTCATTATTACCTACACAAATTTTATTGATTTGTTTATAAAATCGATTTGGCTTCACACGTGATGAAAGACGTTGTGATGCTGATATTCGGGTGAGTGAGATTAACGTATAGTATGGGAGAATTATCACGATATACCCTCTTGTCCACCTTCCTCCTCCTCCTCCTCCTCCTCCTTTCTCTACCTCCTCCTCCTCGTCGTCACACGGTCTGGCAGCCACCCGAGCAGTGATTTACGTCAGACGGGACAGCTGAGGAACAGATGGCCTCTGATAACTCACACACCACAAGTAAACAAAACTGTGTGTGTGTGTGTGTGTGTGTGTGTGTGTGTGTGTGTGTGGTTCCCTCTATCGGTGAAACGA